AAATTTGATCTGTTCTTCTCAGAACACCCTTGCTTAGCTACAAAGTCTTTTGTTGACTTTTACATATTATGAATTCAACTTTTGTTAATCCTAACTATATATCTCAAACTCTAGCACTATAGTTACATGTAGGAAGTATTTTCAGATGGGACTGAGCACCTCTCACGACTATTTTTTCCGCACCCTTGGTGCGGGGTTGTTCGATTTTAAAGTCAGCTATTACTCCTCGCCCGCTGAGATTACCTCCTGAAGTATCCAATCCGACAGACTACTAAGGGATTATAGACTACCGTGAGAATCCGTGGAGGCCTGGCAGCCTCAAGTACTTCATCAGTTGGGACAGATGTGCGTATCAGAGCAACCGACCAATCAATGAGCAGAAGCTTGAGTGAGAACATCTCCGCTGGCCGACCCATTTAGCGTTCACGGCTCGTGTTTTTGTGGGGACGGCTTGTAGTGTGCCCTCCACGATGGTCAGACACCCAGGTGCTCAAAACTATTTAAAGTCATTTGATCGCAGATTGAGGCGTGGACTCTTCCGAAGGTTTTTGCCAACGGGGCGGCCGCAGTTCCCGCCAGGATCCCAATAACCATCACGTAAAATTAGGAACTGCGGGCCTTCCGAACACAGGTCCTTCGACCTTCGTTGCTCCTGGTCGGGCTCTCAAGCACGATCAAAGAGGTAGAAAGAGAACAAGAGAGATATATATAGAGAGAGAGAGACAGGGACTGACAACGAACGAGAGTGCAAAAACAGCCACCGCGGGAATTCACAGGCGAACTTGCCTAGATTTGATTTGAAGGGGAACTAAAGAAGATAAAGATACAAAGAAAAAGGTGGGAGAAAGAGAGAGCGAGAGAGAGAGAGAGAGAGGAAGATAGATTGAGATTACGACAGACAGAAACAGCAATGCCACCTGCAGGCTAGCCCCCGCAGCAGTCTGAGGGCGACAAGGCAAGAGCATTCAGTATTCGAGTGTGAGCTTTCTGTGTCTTGAAAACTATCATAGGAGAAGCAGATCCAGCAGACCAACGAGATCGCCGCCCGCTCTGGCGAGAAGGCAGCAGCTCTGTCGGCATAAAAATATGTAGACACAGCTTAGAGTAAGATAGGGGTGGTGACAATCAAAACAATGCCGGTGATAAAAGCTTAGCGGTGTCCTTACGCCGTAAGCACTGATCCATAGAAGAAAAGAACATACCTGGAGAAACATGGAAAGAGGTAGAGACTAATAAAGACTAAATTCGATCCAAAAGCTGCTGCTGTGTTGTTTTGTCTCTTTAACAGAAACGAGAGATAGGTATAAAAAAGAGAACGTTAGAAAACAACAGAAGCAACGAAGGTGACCTGGCAAACTTACTTGGCAAACCTAGCCACAGCCTCGGCCTCTGCGAAACAAAATAAACGAACAAAAAGACAGAGATAGAGATACTGTGGGAGCCTAGGCGTCTCACGAGACTGCCACTCCGACAACCGCGGCGGCCTAAGTGAAAAAGCAGAGAAGAGTGAAGAAGAAAGAGAACCGGTGCAGGTGCTTGAGGAGTTCGGCAAGTCGGAAGCTGCTGCCTCGGCTAGGTGTGAAAGGAACAGAAAGACAAGAGAGAAACATAGAAAGAACGAGAAAGAGAGAGAGAGAGAGAGAGAGAGAGAGCGAGAAGCAGACACCATGAAAGAACACATCCGGTGCTGCAAGGGCACGGGCACGAAGCGTCGTGCCGGAGCCTTGGTGTTGAACCAAGAAGGAACGACATGAACAAGAAAAACATCCAGGCTGTGCCGACAGAGCCTGCTGGACCGCCTCCAGGATGGAAGGCCTGCGGGTGAAATCTACGTTATTAGACCCTGCAATAAACATCAAAAGAAACCACACATCGGCTGTTGCAGGCCAAGAAGATGCAGAAGGTGCTTGCTACAGCCTTGGTGTTAAGCAAAGTAGGACATGAAAGCGAGCAAAGACATGCAGGCTATGCCGACGGCACCCGTGGGCCCGCCTCCAGGATGGAAGGCCGGCGGGCGAAGACTACCTTCAGAGACCCTACAACAAGCAACATTAAAAGCAATTCATCGGCGTCTGCAATTCCAGACGATGCAGGAGCAAGCGTCACGTGACCTCCCAGACCTCGAGTAATGCCTTGGCAACCAAATGGTTTAGGGAATTCAGAGACCAGAGGGCCACAATACAACACCGGTCATCGAAGCCCTTCAAACAAATCCCAATCCGAAGGCTCGAAGGACTCATGTTCCCAAAGGGTCCTAGGCACTGTTCCGGGGGTTGTTTCCTTAAACCATAGGCGATTTTTTGTACAGTTTGTTTTTGTTTTTTTGATTTTTTCTTTATTTTTTTCTTGGCCGTTGTGTCCCTTGATTCTCCCTGTGGGAGCACCCTTGTTTTTTTTTATGTTTTTGATTTTTTTCATTTTTCGAAGTTTTTGAAAAAGGCAAAAAAACAAAAAACTCAAAAAACAAATCAGTTTTTTGATTTTATTCAAAAATGCAAAAAAATCAAAAAATCAAAAAACAAAAAAAAACAAAAAAAATATTGGATCCCCCGGTCCCTGGGAGGCGATGCCTGGCCGTTGCGCCCCTGCCCTGAGGGTCTCCGGCCTGGAGCGCTTGATCCTCCCTGTGGGAGCACCCTGGATTTTTTTTGATTTTTTGTAATTAATTGAGTTTTTTGAAAAAGGCAAAAAAAAAAACAAAAAAACTCAAAAAACATTTTTTTCATTTTTGTGAGTTTGTTCAAAAAAGGCAAAAAAATCAAAAACAATTAAGAAAATCCAAAAAATCCTGGATCCCCCGGTCCCTGGGAGGTGATGCCTGGCCGTTGCGCCCCTCCCCTGAGGATCTCCGGCCTGGAGCGCTTGATCCTCCCTGTGGGAGCACCCTGGGTTTTTTTTGATGTTTTTTGATTTTTTTCATTTTTTTGAATTTTTTGAAAAAGGCAAAAAAATCAAAAAACTCAAATTGTTTTTTCATTTTTGAATTTTTCAATAAGGCAAAAAACCCAAAAAAACGAAAAAAAAAACAATAAAATCCTGTATCACCCGGTCCCTGGGAGGCGATGCCTGGCCGTTGCGCCCCTCCCCTGAGGGTCTCCGGCCTGGAGCGCTTGATCCTGCCTCTGGGAGCACCCTGGATTTTTTTGATGTTTTTGATTTTTTTCATTTTTGAGTTTTTTGAAATAGGAAAAATAAAAAAACTCAAAAATTGTTTTTTTCATTTTTTGTATTTTTTAAAAAAAGGCAAAAAAGTCAAAAAAAATTCAACAAAAACGAAAAAAATCAAAAAAATCATGGATCCCCCGGTCCCTGGGAGGCGATGCCTGGCCGTTGCGCCCCTCCCCTGAGGGTCTCCGGCCTGGAGCGCTTGATCCTCCCTGTGGGAGCACTTTGGATTTTTTGATGTTTTTTGATTTTTTTCATTTTTTTTGAATTTTTTGAAAAAGGCAAAAACATCAAAAAACTCAATTTTTTTCATTTTTTAAAATTTTTTCAAAAAGGCAAAAAAAAATCAAAAAAGATCCTGGATCCCCCGGTCCCTGGGAGGCGATGCCTGGCCGTTGCGCCCCTCCCCTGAGGGTCTCCGGCCTGGAGCGCTTGATCCTCCCTGTGGGCGCACCAAAATTTTTTGATTTTTTGAGTTTCTTGGAGTTTTTGAAAAAACCAAAAAATCAAAAACTTCAATTTTTTTCATATTTTGAATTTTTTCAATAAGGCAGAAAGACCAAAAAAAAAAAAAATGAATAAAAAAAAAGTCCTGGATCCCCGGGTCTCTGGGACAAGACCGACCAGGTCTATTCGGAAGATGCCTTCTTCTTTTCATAATTACATGTAAGTGTACATTCCCCTTATTAAAGACATAAGAAGGGGCTTCCAAATAGACCCGGTTTTGCTCACACCCCCCCCCCCCACACACTGTAACACTTAGTTCATATTACTTGTAATGTACTTATGATTACACATAGGCCTTAACATGACCCTCAATGTGGACTGTTACGGGGCGGGCGAAGTACCAAAAAGATAGGGCTTCTTGTATGATTCTGGTGTGAGTGTCAGGTGCACCATAGATCAACCTGAGACCCTGTACTCGATATCCCTGCGCACTCTCGGGTTGATAACTGAAGGGTTTTGCATTCGGAGCTTAGGGTACAGCGCCCATGGAAGCTTGTACTCGTATAGGAATTCCCCAAAATCGGAACTACCCGCTGCGATGCGTAAGAACCAAGTCGAAGGACTGAAGTTCCGAAGGTCACTCACGGGTAACAGCACCCAAAGGCCCCAAAGTAGTTCCTTTTGGGGGCTCATATTTAGAATTCTATAAGGTAATCCCAAAAAGGAACTACTTTGGGGCCTCTAGGCAGCCCTATGCATTGGAAAGCCAGAGGCCTCAAAGCCCGAGCACTTAAAGCCTGCAGCGACTCTTCTTGCAAATGCCCTAAACCCTAAACCCGGTGGATTTTCGAGACTCGATCAGGGCCCTTTTGAGGTATCTAGTGTTATCTTGGCTCCGTTGTGGTTGGCCGTCGGGGCTCTAGTTCTGAGGTTTTCTTCCGTTTTCTCGGACAAGGAGGTTCAACGACTGACTTTCCGGCATGTTTCCAAAACCGGCCGAGCGATAGACATGGTCGAACATTGCATTCCTGCACCCAGAACTCCTTTTGTAGTAGTGGTAGCAGTAGTAGTAGTACTAGTAGTAGTAGTAGTAGTAGTAGTAGTAGTAGTAGTAGTAGTAGTAGTAGTAGTAGTAGTAGTAGTAGTAGTATAGTAGCAGTAGCAGTAGCAGTAGCAGTAGCAGTAGCAGTAGCAGTAGCAGTAGTAGTAGTAGTAGTAGTAGTAGTAGTAGTAGTAGCAGTAGCAGTAGTAGTAGTAGTAGCAGTAGTAGTAGTAGTAGCAGCAGCAGCAGTAGTAGCAGTAGCAGTATCAGCATCAGTAGCAGTAGCAGTAGCACTAGCAGTAGTCGTAGTAGTGGTCGCAGTAGCCTGCAACCACGCAGAGCACAGGAGCCGGCGATCTTCTACGCCCTGCAGAAGGCCAGTTAACGGCTGGACATGGTTTAGGGTTTAGGGTTTCAGGGTTTGGGCTTAGGGTTAAGGGGTTTAGGGTTTAATTTAGCGTTTAGTTGGGCAGTCTCTGCAAGTTTTGGCCACTACGGTCCCATTAGAGGTCCTTCTCTCAAGGATGCCTGTCTTGGTCCTGTAGAGAGTTAGAGGGGATCCCTCGCTCGGTCCTGTAGGAGTTAGAGGGGCATGGCTCCAAACCACCTCCCCCGCCCACCCCCACCCAGCCCACCCACCAACCCACCCACCCGCCCACCCCCACCACCTCAGGCCCCTGGGAGGCCATCCCCCAACCGCCTTCCCCTAAACCAAAAACCAAACCAAAACCCAGAAACCAAGAACCTAAACCACCCAACAACCCCCCCCTTCCACACCCCCACCGCCACCCCACCCCCATCCCCCATCCCCCCCCACCCCCACCCCCACCACCACCCCCACCACCTCAGGCGCCTGGGACACCCGCCCTCCCGTAAACAAAAACCAAACCAAACCAAAAACCACCCCACCCCCACCCCACCACCACCCCCACCACCATTTCCACCCCCACCCCCCCACTGATTTGTGTCTGTGTGTGTGTGCGCCTGCCTGTCTGTCTGTCTGGCTGTCTGCACGTGTGTTGTTCGAGTGGGTTTGTTTCAGAGTGGGTCTTTTAAAGTTAGCTTTTGTTGTGTTCGTATTAGTTGGTTTCAAGCAGTTTACGCTTTAGGACTTCGTTTGTGTTTTAGGTTTATTGTTCTCGTTTACCGAGTCGGGTTGCGGGTCAAGGAGCTGCTTCATGTGGTTCTTTGAGCTCTGACCGATGCACGTGAGACCTTCGGCGCTTTAAATACTCTAGATTTTAGATGGCTGTCGCGTGTTCTTAGATTTACTTAAGAAGTGTCCTGTAAAAGTTTAGGGTGGAGTGATGTCAACCCTGAGGCCTAAACCTTAAAACAGCAAGGACTCCAAGCAAGAACTGTCTGATCCCTGGCCTGCGATTGACAAGTCCAAATGCGACGGGCAAAGTGGACAAGCCGGAATGCAGAAGGAGACTCCTGTAGCATCATCTTTGTAACCTCGAGCCTGAAGCAAATCCGTTTCTTCCGGAACCTACACCCTGAGACTCTAAAGCCCTAGAGCGCGAAAACCAAAACCTTACAATCCTGAACCCTAAATCCTAAAACCCTTAAGCCCTGCACCCTCTCAGCCTTTGTTTCGAATTCCGTCGCTGCGATTCTGGCAGGTGCGAGCAGAACAGGTGCTGCTCGTCGGAGATCCACGTCAGTTGCCTCCAAGGGCGGTGTGCCTTGGCAGAAAATTTGGGATTTTGGAGCTGAAATCTTTGCCTTAGGATCTCGGGTTTGGGTCTTTGGGCATGGTTTCGCTGTAGATTGTAGCGCAGCTACATTGGGAGTATGGCTTAGTTGCTATTCAGAGGATATAGGGTTAATTGGGTTATGAGCTTGCGAGCTCGGAGAGTAGGATAGGCTGCAACGGTCCGTTTGAATGAGGCAGGTGACCAACATGTACCCCAGATCTCCAAAGGCCAATGCCCCGCTGGCCTGAACCGAGCCAAGAACTAGACACTGATGTGGTTATGGACGGCGGGGTGAAGACCAGGGAAGAAGTGTGGGCCTGTGATTTTCCCGCACGACTCGGCCATTGGAGGTGGTACTGCAAAAATATTTGGTTCAGTGCCAGAGCTGCAAAGGTTTTCAGGGGTGTTTGCGAGTAGGAATTCCGGGATTCTTACGAAGGCTGTAGACATGGAACCTCGAAGCACGCAAACACTTCAACGCAGGATTTGCGGTGTGGCTCTATCGACCCAAACTGATGGTTATGCTGCTGCTGCTGATGATGATGATGATGACCATCATGATGTTCATGGTGATGCTGTTGTTGATGATCATGATGACGATGGTGATGATGCATGAATGGCAACATCTGACTACTATATCTACTATTTGCTTAAGAAACCCCCAAAAAATAAAAATAACAATCCCTATATTACCACCATAAGGAATATATGTTTTATTTTTTGGGGGGTTCTTAAGCAAATAGTAGATATGCATTTGCAGGCATGCGCCTTTGCAGCTGTCTGCCCTCGAGCGGTTGCTCGGCTGTGCCGGGTGCTCTCTTTAGCTGCACGGGGGGGAGAAAGTTGGGCATATTACGAGCCCTTCTTAACGGATGCTGAAACTTGAGGCCTCGTGTCAGGTTGCCTAAACCGATCCTAAACCCTAAACCTTCAGTTTCTAGAACTGCCCGGGCTTTCAGCTTGTTTAGCTTACCCTATTCCGGCGTGATGATCATCTGGCAGATGGTGGTACCCTTTCTGCATGTCGGTGTGTTTCGTCTATACACAGAACACGGCAAGGGTGACATTTTGTTGGGTCTGGTTTTTCAGGTCTGCAGGGGCCGAAATAATTAGCAATAAATCTCAGTAGTATTCCTATTGCGCGCCCTCCCCCTAAACAAAGCGCATGGCTTCATCAATCAGTCCCCTACACACAAGCCTCAAACCCCAAACGCTTGAATTTTTCCCGTAACCATACAGTACCCCTGACCACCCCTGAACTTGGAACCTTGATGTAACCCTACACCCTCCACCTGAACCCCTAAACCCCACCCTCAACCCCCCAATCGGTGAGTGCTGCAAGGCTCTGGGACCAGAAGATAGCTTGCCGTCTGGAGCTGGCGACACAGTTCAGGCGGCATCATATCTAGGGTTTAGGGTTTGGGTTTTACGCGTTTTACCCTAAGCGCTGCACCCAGGCGTAATCACTTCATACAAGACTAAACCCCTTTGACCACATCTACCCTGAACGCTACACCCAAATCCCTCGACCCTAAACCCAAAAAACCTAACCCTCTGCCCTAGATACCGAAACCCCGAAGCCCCAAAACCAAGCCCCGCATGCCCGAAACTGAACCTCAAAATCTTATTTCAGCATCGGGCTGAGCCCTAAACCCTAAGACTAAGCCCCAACCTCTTTCGGTTCCGGGCTGAACCCTAAGCCGTGAAACTGAACTCCAACACCCTCTCGCGGTTTCGGGCAGGTGTCATCCTTGTATCGCTGCTTTCTGCTCGTCGCTCTTCTACGGTGGGGCCTTGAAGTCTGGCATCACGGCTGAGGCCTGGGGAAGTAGAAGGGAGCTTACCGGTGAGGCTTTAGGAACCTTTGTGGTTTAGGATACTGTATATGTAGCATCGTGCAGTTAGAAGAAAACTTGGATAGCAGTTTTCAGGAGATCTTGGCCATTTCGTTGCAACCCCAAACCCTCAACCCCGCAGTTTCGGGCCTACGGGGGCTCTAGGGTTGCAAGTTCCCAGAGCCTCCAAAACCCCTGAATTAAGGAATATACCTTAAATCATAGTATGGATCCTACTATACTGTAAGGTATATTCCTTAATTAAGGGGTTTTGGAGGCTCTGGGTTTAAGGGCTCAGGGCATTAGCAGACAGGTCTTTGTTGGCCCAGGTAAGCTCTAAGCCCGAACAGCCCAGACTCCGATAGACACAAAATAGCTGTCAATACTTCGGGGTTTACTGTCAATACTTCGGGGTCTAGGGTTCCTTTTGGGATAAGGGTCAAGGGTGAGGTTCTGGGTTTTAGAATGTCACATCAAAGCCTCGCCAGGCTTCCTTGAGGCAAAGGAAGTTAGAGCCAAGTGCTCATCACACGAGGCAGAAGACAAGCATAAGAGACCGAGGGAACTGCAACCACCGCCAGGATAGTATTGAGCAACCCTATAAACTCTAAACTACCGCAAAACTGAGCAGGATCGCAGTTCTGGTCTCGGCCCGGGTGCAGCGCCTCTGGCAGTGGTGCTTAGCGAAGGCATGGGGATTTACCTTTTTCAAAGGGACTTTTATAGGAAGTTGATGAGGTCACCAAGAAAGTAGGTGATTTGAAGTTCAGGTATGTCTTTTCACGGCAGTTGTTCTTAAATTCGGGCTCTTCTTCAAGCCCTGATCGTGGATTTTGCGGGCAAGGACCAGTGTATCAGCAAGATCCGGCGTGATTCGAACTATAGGGTGCCTGAGACATTCCCAAAATCAGCAGGGTTCCTTATCATTGGTACACTATGATACAGCCCAAACCCCTGTTCTATGTCTTAAGGTCCTGAAAGCAGCGCAGTTCTTTGGAGCCACGGACACCTCAGGTGCCGACCGCTTGAACCCTGAACCTCGAAGCCTCTTTAGACGGTACGTGACTTAGGGGTTTAGGGGTCTTGGGGGAATGCAGTTCAGGGTTTAGGGGTTTTAGATTTATTTAGGCTTGGGGTACCCAGTTTATGGGCTTTGGGTGCTTTGGATTAGGGCTTAGGCTTGCCACGACGAGCTAGCTGCTAGCTCTTGCAAGCCTACACCCCGGGCTATCTCGGAGGTTCTGAGACGCGTGTGGGCCAATCCTTCCGTCATGATCCCGAGGCGTCTTGGGAATGTGTGATGTAGGGGCCTAAATAGTTGCCTATGGGGTTCCTAGGGCCCATTTAAAGGGGTCTATAAGGGTTTCTTTCAGACTATACGGGATCTATAAGGGTACTATAATATAGGGGCCTAAATAGTTACCTAGACTATTTTCGGGGCTCCTTATTATAAGCATAGTTTCATGGGCCCCAAAGCCCTGTTCTAATCATTAAGGCCGATAGTGATTGTTGCTGATGCCATAGTTTGGAATCAGGGTGTAAGGTTTACGAAATCTGTGTTCATTGTCCAAACTTCCTCTTTGTTCAATCGCGCTCTTAGGGGGTAGTGTTATAGTGTGTATCTTCTCTGGTTAGCTGCAGGCTATAGCAGCTCAGGCGTAGTGTCGCGGTGCTTACATGCCTTGGCATATGGCGAAGACGAATTGTTGTCGTCGTCGCTGCAGCTACCCCGTTACGATTACAAAGCCAGCGTTCATCACAGGCTGACCATGGTAGTTTCAGAGCCTACAGTTCTCTAGTTCAAACCTATCAGCCTTAAGCAGTAGGATCTCCATCCAGAGCGCCACCCACGAGCCCAGAACCCCTGGATAATCAAACTCATTGGGTTTTTTTGGACGCAGCATGCCGGGTGCTGTAGGAGCCCCCAACAGTTGAACTCCGGTGTAGCCAAATTTTAGTGCGGCTTCGAGCTGAAGTCCTAAACCCCAAACATCCCTAAACTTTATCTTCATAAATTACTGACACCGAGCGGAAGCTCACCAGCCCCAGCCTACCAAACCTCTTCTCCCCTAAAACGAGATCCCAAGCTATCAAGCTGTATGACAAAATGCTAAACCTAACATCCGAATTAACCTATCTGACAGAATTCTCAACGGTTTTAGAATTCTATACCTCTCGAAGAACCCGGGACTGTGGGCTATGCCGGCTCTGCGCCCAGAAGCCCAACTTCCTCACTAGTAAAGACCCAACAGCTCTTGCCTTGTCCCGGATATGGATTTCGGGGGAAGGGTTTAGGACCTTGTGATAGAACGGTTAAGGGTTTAGGGTTTAGGGGAGTGTTCAAGCCCCACCCCCAATTGAGGCGCAGCTCTGCTCTTCTTGGCTTCAGCGCGCGTCGAGCTGCGGGCGGCTGCAACCAAAGGTGCTGGGGTGTACAGTTCATGGCGGAACTGTAAGGGTTTACGGGTTTGGGGTCTTGCGGTAGAGAGTTTAGGATACCCGTACCTTAAGCCGGAATAACCTACCTTTTTAAGGTTCCTTATTATGATTTCCTTATATAAGTCCTTAAAAAGGTAGGTTATTCCGGCTTAAGGTAGGGCTCAGGATCTAGGTTAGAAGTTACAAGTTCCTGCATGAAGGCACGACCCCAACGAATGAACTCTCACGACGTCCAGCTGGAGGGAGCAAGTTCAATATCTTGCAATCATTAAGGTTCTTCCACGCACGCAAGTCGTAGCAACTCCCGCAAATCTTTCTGAAATCCTTCGTTCCTCGTCTCTAGCGATGGAGAGTCATCAGGCTTTCTTTTCCCCCTTACTCAGTCATTGCGTGAGCAGTCCTACAAACCTGAAGCCTGAAACAACCAAATTTTGCCGACATTTACCGTTTTGACATCATTAATTTGCCAGCATGTTCACAGCCGTGCGAGAGTCCTGGATGCAGGACTTCGGGGTTATTTGCCTCTACCGGCCGCATGCGGATGCCTGCGGGAGGGCTGTGCGAAGTGACTCGGCTTGCCAAAGAAGGAGTTGCTTTTCCTGATCTTCTTACACTGCTCATTCTGTGTTGGTCCCCTGCTGGGCGCTTCTTGTTCTGGCTGTCGTCATCGCAATGAGCTTGAGTGCAATGAAGATGACGGTGGCGATTTCTCGTCATGATGCTCGGGGCGATGATGCTTAGGGGTTTAGAGGTTGGCGTTTAAGGTCACAGTTTCGGTCGCAGCTTCGAGGGTGCTCATGGCTAGTCGGCTAAAACTCTGACTAGCTGTGGTGGTTCTCATGCGAAGACTGTGCTGGTTGGATAACAAACGAATTCCCCGGTCGATGAAGTACTTTCTGAATTGTTGTAAACTGGTTGAGTCCGCGGTTTCCCGAAATCCTGTGCCCGAAACTCAAACCTTCATTTAAACGCTATCGAGCCCTGATAAAATCACTCCGACGTAAACCTAAACCCTGAATCGGAACTCTTGTAACCCTACAAGACACAACTTGAACCAGGGAAGAGTAGCGATGAGTCACGAAAGTAGGTCCTTGTTGTTGCAGCTGGTGTTTAGGGTTTAGGGTTTTGGTTTTAGGGTATTTGGTTCAGGGTTTAGGGTTTGTTTTTCTATTGGTCTTTACGAAGCGTTGTCACAGGGTGTATGGCGGATACTTCGGGTTGGCATAGGGCTGTATAGCAGCTTTCTTGGTGCTGGTTTTCCTTTTGGGACGAGCTGGCAACCTTGCAATGTGGAGCCCGAAGACCCTGCACCCCTCAATTAAGTAACCCTTGCATCCCAAGGAAGCAGGGTTTAGGGTTGAGGTTTCATGTTTGGGGTTTAGTTCAAGCAAGAGCGCTCGAGAGCCTCCCAATGTTGTCCGAGTGTCAACTTCATCAGTGTATTTGAAGGCAAGCCCATAGAAATCCCTATAGCACCCTAGTAGTGTAAACCGTATAAAGCTCCATAGCAGTATGGCCAAATATACGATGTACCAACCAGAACAAATCATAAGACTAATGAAGACAGGAACGAACACAGGTTCTCGGCTTGAGTTGTTGAGGCTCTGGTGCCTTGAAAGACGTGGAGGTCGCAACGGTCGATGCGTTTCAGGGAGGCGAACGTGAAGCTGTGGCCCTATGCTGTGGCCGTGTCTCGTCGATGAGTGAAGAGGCTGAAGACAACTTGAGGTTGAGGTTGGGCGAGCCTGAGATGCTCATAAGGGCCCCAGGAAATAAGATGATTTCTGTCAACGGCTGCTGTATTCGTGATACGTATATATATATATATATATACATATATATATATATATATATATATATATATAACACGTAGTAAAAGGTATGTAATAATTTTCGAAGATGAGAAGAGCCCCTCCCCCCAATTCAGAGATCTCGCACCAACCCAAGGCTAAGACCTACATCCTGATGCAAGGACTCCTTCCTCGAAGAGCTTGTCCCGGAACCCTACCCCCCCCCCCCAAACCCCGAAGCTGTATATCCTAAACCATAAAAAACCTCGTAGGGTTTAGGGCTTAGGGTATCTTAAGCTAGGTCTTGGGGTTTAGCGTACCCTAAATTAGGGTTTATGGCCTTAGGGTTTAACCATCAGCGCCTGGACCCTCAAACACCTACCAACATCCCTACACGGCTAACCCTTCTGCCCGAAACCATGAGCCGCAAAACCGTCATCCTCAACTCTACACTCCTGAACTCTCGTGTTAATCCTAAATATCGAGACCATGCTTTCTAAATCCCGATTAGAGCCCTTATCAAGCTTTTTCGCGCCCTCTTTAATAATAAATCCCTACGACCGCATAAAATACTCTGCGAGAGCTCTTATAAAGCCCAAGAAAACACTAAACTCTAAACCTCTAAACCCTAAACTCCTAAACACCATAAGCAGCAGACCAGAGGATCGTCACGGGTTGGTGCCAGCGACCCGTTTGCCTGCTGCCCGCGTCGGCTGAACGTCGCACTGCATCTTGGCAGGGCTTTTCAGCTTCGGCTTACTCTACATCACTACCTATACCATTTTTTTGAGTGCTCCTTATTGAAGCTATAGTATTGTGGGCCCCAAGACCCTGTTCTAATTATCAAAGCTCCTATATTAAGTTTTTGGGCCTAGGCTTAGGGTTTACCCCAAGAGCATGCGTAATACGCGCCTCGTATACGTGTTGTGCCGTTTGTTTACCTCTGTTTAGGGTTTGAAGTAAGGTGTTGTGTCTAGCCAGACCATATCACTTTGGACAATGCGCTTGGGTTCTATTCTAGATCTGCTGCAATCACAAAAGGAACCCCAAAATACTAGAACTATAGCCCAGGATCCCCAATCGCTCGCCAAGCTCTAGACTTTCTCCCTGAAGTTCTGGGCCCAAAGATGTCCTGAAGCCTAAACCCCACATCAAAACACCACCTTCCTGGGATCTTCCCAAGGTCCCGCGCTCGACGGCACCTGGTCATCTTTGGTTCGGAATGCTTCTCGGCACTGTAGCAGTCTTAAGGCCTTTAGGGCTTCGAGTTTAAAGCCTGTAGGGCTTCGAGTTTAAGGCTTAGGGTTTAGGGTTTAGGGGTTTAGGGGTTTAGGGGTTTAGGGTTTAGGGTTTAGGGCTTAGGGTTTAGGGTTTAGGGTTTAGGGCTTAGGGTTTAAGTCGAGGCTTTAGGGTTTGCGGTTGTATGGTTCCGGGGGCCTAGGGCCTAGGGCTTTCCACGACTGTCTGTGGCTCCAAGTACTTGCTGTTCTACGGCAGTGTGCTCTGATGAAAAAGGGTCGGTACATTTTATGTTGACAAACTTCGCTGTCCGTATAAACTTCCCGCCATGCATTCCTACAGTTATAATTAAAAGTGTCAGTGTTGTTTTTCCAGTGTCCGATTACTTGTCTAAAGTTTCGAAGCCCAGCCTCAACACAAAGAACGACAAGCTTGGACCGGAGGTCTTCATGGGAATCGGAGCTTACGGATTCCGTCCTACATCTTCGTCTTGCATTCCAAGTCTCACTGCAACGTCGTGTTTCAAGTTCCCGAGCTCTTCGAACCTTTGAACATGTAGGGCATTGGATGTTATGAAGGCTTTGAGAGTTCAGGGCAGCATACCCCCAACATCACTTAACTGACGATCGGAGGATCCTCTTAATGCAGGTCATACAGCGACGAGGTACCTGAACAAGCCTTCAGCTTGTCTATTGTCACTGCCCTCTTTCTGACGGACCTGCCTGTGTCTGTGTGTGTGTGTGTGTGTGTGTGTCCGTAAATACGAGTCTCAGGAGATACGGAAGCCAAGCGCAGACCTAAAACGAAGAAATGGCCTTCCCATAGCTTCCCCGAAATACACAAAGTAGCCTAGGATGGAATCCCTTTATAGATACGACTTCCCCATAGAATCATAAGATCTCTAGTGTAAGGACCCCTTGAACAAACTAGCCGGACGAGGGGTCTCTCAAGATAATGAAAAACCCTAGACCCTAAACCCTAAACCCTAAACCCTAAACCCTAAACCCTATACCCTAAACCCTAAACCCTAAACCCTAAACCCTAAACCCTAAACCCTAAACCCTAAACCCTAAACCCTAAACCCGCCCGCCACCCCTCTCACTTCTGTTGGGGTAGGCGGGCGACGTCGAGCGGCAGCGAGACCATGGCAGGCTCTGCTAGGCTGCAGAGCCTGCAGGGCGCACCCCTGAGGGGTCGCCAAGCTAGAGTCGCCTAGCTAGTCACTGATATATAGTTTATAACCCTAAACCGGTCGGGGGTTGCATCCTTCACGACTTGAGGCGGCTTCCAAATGGACAAAGGGATGCCCCCTCCCCCAACCCTTCACGAGATGAGGCGGCCGCCAAATGGACAAGGGATGCCCCCCCCAACCCGGCACGAGATGAGGCGCCCGCCAAATGGACAAGGGATGCCCCCCCCAACCCTTCACGACTTGAGGCGGCGTTTAAGTGGACAAGGGATCCCCCCTTTTGAGCAAGTTCTCAATTTTGCTTGGACAGGGCTTCGAGGCCAAAGGTCGACAAATCCATGACAGGGCCCTTCGGCCCAGAACTTACCCCAACGCAAACCTCAAATTTTGTGTGGACAAACCCAAAGATCGGCAAACCAATGATGGGGCCCTTCGGCCCAGAACTTCCCAAAACGCAAAGCCCAAATTTTGCTCCTGCAATGTTTGGCTTTTGCTTAGCCGGACGAGGATTGGGGGCCCCCCCAACCCTTCACGATTTGGAGCGGGGAGGCCCCCAACACTTCACCAAAGATCTGCAAACAAATGACAGGCCCTTTCGGCCCAGAACTTCCCCCAACGCAAAACTTAAAGTTTGCTTTTAGTACAATGCTTGGCTTTGGCTTGGCCGGACAAGGGTGGGCCCCCCGAATCCTTCACGACTTGGAGCGGGGGGGGCCCCCAACACTTCACCAAAGATCGGCAAATCAATGACAAGGTCCTTTGGCCCAGAACTCCCCCCAACGCAAAACCTAAATTTTGCTCTTGGTACAATGTTTGGCTTTGGCTTGGCCGGAAAAGGGTTGCGGGCACCCCACCCTTTCACGACTTGGAGCGGGGGGGCCCCCAACACTTCACCAAAGATCGGCAAATCAATGACAGGGCCCTTCGGCCCAGAACTCCCCCCAACGCAAAACCTAAATTTTGCTGTTGGTAGAATGTCGGGCTTTGGCTTGGCCGCGAATAATGAGGATGGCTTGGTTGGGCTGGCTTCGGTTTGGTTCGCAGTGAGTAGTGTTTGGGTGGTCTTGGGGTGGGCATGTCTGCATACTGCTGCGTTCAGCTGACCAATGCTACACCCTAAACCCTAAACCCTAAACCCTATACCCTAAACCCTAAACCCTAAAACCCTAAAACCCTAAAACCCTAAAACCCTAAACCCTAAACCCTAAACCCTATACCCTAAACCCTAAACCCTATACCCTAAACCCTAAACCCTAAACCCTAAAACCCTAGACCTCATCTCCTTAGCGCTCAGGCTTCCTTTCCCAGCATCCCACACTGAGTGCCTCGGACGTCTTACAGCTCTGGGTTTATTGGGTGGTTGTCAAATTTATGGTCCCTTTTTGGGGTCCTGAATATAATACGGCACCTAGTATTTAGAAGAGTACCCTAATTTTGACAACCACCCGATTGGGTCGAGGGAGGTTTACACAACTCCGAAACCCTAAACCCTAACCAGGGCTCAAGACTCGGAAGATGCTATAAATTTGGATGCGTGTTGCGTGTGATGCGGTCGAGAGCCTGTCACAAGGGTGTGGGGGAGGGGGGGGGGGGGGCGGGGTATGGGCTTCTATAAAATAGTAGTACAGCACCCGAACAGATCGGACCTTAAACGGGACGCAAACTTAGAGAGCCACCCATGTCATCGTATATAATTGTATCAATCAATCGGAAGCTACAGGCACATCCGGTGCCCTCAACCCAACCTCCGTTTAAGGGTTTAGGACAGGAGGAAGCTGAATCCTATACCCGGTAGTCCAGGCTTTGTATCCTGAACCCTCAGTCCCAAACTAAACCCTAACCGTTAAAACCACGTTGCAGCCCGCAACCTTTGGAAGTTCGGTTGGGGGTTGACACGAGGGTCTTTGTTTTTAGTGTTCGGTGTGTTGGATTCTGGTTGCGATCAGGATCCCTATGAATAGATGGAAACACCCGAAGTGTTAAGTCAGTCGAGCCCGGCACCTCGCATTCCTAGTTCACTGTTGAGGATTTGGGCATTTTGTATTCTTTCGGGCTTCAATTCTCAAATCTGGTTTAGTTAGGTGTTAAAATGGCCAGGAACCCTGAATACGCCGGTTGAGGGTTCAAGGTTTAGGGTATACCCTAGGCCCCTAAACCCGTGAGAGTCCAACACTCTGAGCCTTCGACCCTAAACCCTAAACCCTAAGCCCCATGTTTTTGGAATTCAGGAGAGCGTCGTTACCGACACAAGCCACACCGCCCCCCCCCCCAAAAAAAAAACTAAGCCCTAAACCTCTCAAGCCCTCAGCGACTTTAAGGTCTCTGACCCCTCAAACTCCCTAAGCCACGGTAGGAACAGGGACTACTATAAGAGACTACCATAGGGATCCGTTCTACCGTTCTCTACTTTGAACCGGAGAGACAAAAACTGACTCTCAGGGCCAAAGCCAGCTCGAATTGGCGCTTGGAGTAGTAGTAGTGGTAGTAGTAGTAGTTGTTGTTGTACTAGTAGTAGTTGTTGTACTAGTAGTAGTAGTAGTAGTAGTAGTAGTAGTAGTAGTAGCAGTAGCAGTAGTAGTAGTAGTAGTAGTAGTAGTAATAGTGCTGCTGCTAGTGACTAGTGGTCAGTGGTAGGGGTCTTAAGAACTGGCTTTGTGATTAATGTAATGAAGCTCCAAAACTTCTGCATAGAATTGTCTAGTTTGGTTTTGAAAGTGCACATTAACTATTTCTGATTCAGAATCGCAGTCGCAGGCATCAACAAACACCTATAGTTTTTTCTGTAGGATTTCTTAATATGTGTATATATATATATATACACATACACATTTTCATTGTGTTGTACCCCAAAGCCCAATTCGAATTGTTCAGCCCCTGTCCTAATTATTTAGATTATTGTCCTATAGTCAACTTATAGTTCGCAAAGAGTTCTAACACCATACACGCCCAAGAATCAGCGCCCTACAATAGGTCGTTGTGTGTAGGGCTCAACAACTAGTGACGCTGTTTCTCGGGTGCCCCAAAATAAGGAACATAATGCATGCACCCTAATTTCGATGACTATGAACATGCATTCACGCTGAGCCAAAATCAAGCAGCCTGTCACTAAAGGCCACGTTTTGGCTGCAGCCGCTGCCCAGGGATCCGTACACCGCGCCAGTGACGTGTTAGCCTAGGGCTTTCGGGGGGAGTCTCATGGTTTACAGGTTTACGACTCCCCGTATATTCCCGGCACATCTACATCATGCTATACCCCAGAATCACATGCTTGTTGTCTTTTAAGACCCTTATGATAGAAATCCATTGCGCCCTCGGGTTTCGGGTTCAGGGGTAGCGGTTGAGGCACATACACTTATCAAGCTAAACTCCAAGCCACCCAATCCAGCCATGTTCAACACTTAAGCTTCACATACCTGAACTTGGGCAGCACATCTCGCCTGCATCGCTGAGAGCTGCATCCGCTTTGGCTAAGTAGCCGCGAGTGCAACGCTTGACGGTGGCTTGGTCATGGTTTAGTCGGTTTATTGACTACCGATACTTCATACCTCCCTGAGTGCAGAAACGCTACTTGCAACAGGAGCCTGGATTAATGTTTCGGACGGCACTGCACACTATGCCCCCCAACAAGTGCGATATGTGTTACCTGTCAGAAATAGCATCGAGGGGCCCCTTACTGTAAACCGTCAGGACTTGGAACCTGTTGCACAAAGTCAATGCTGTTTAGGGTTTTAGGATTTAGGGTTTAGGGGTTTAGGGGTTTAGGGTTTAGCGGCTCCTGCTGCCTAGACATCTGGTCCTGTGGTTGAGGGCTTCATCCTACGATGATGGGTCGCATGGAGCAATTTGGTCTCATATCCGCCTCTATTCCGCATATAAACACTCACCCCCCGAAACCCTAAACCCTAAACCGGTTTAGGGGATTAGGGTTTAGGGTTTAGGGCTAAGCCGAAGGCCCCATATTACAATGCCAGCGATGAGGATGTACAGGGCGAAGGGATTGGCGAGTCTTCGGGTGCCCAAAGATGGCACCCGTTCTGCAACAAAGCTCGCGGGCAGGCGGAGGCTCTTCATGCGCCCTGTCAGGCTGTTGCAGTTCAGGTTTGGGGTATGTTGTCTTATCCCTCAATGCAAAAGACTCAAAACGCTTGATTCTTACCTAAACTAAGCCCTAAACTCCCTAAACTAAACCCAAAACTAAACTCTAAACCCCTAAACCCTAAACTCCCTAAGCTAAACCCTAGAGACGCCGTACCCTTATCTTCTAAGCCGGAGCAATCCGAGTCCTTCAAGAGAGTTGGAATGCAGGAAGCTGATGAAGAAACCCTGACGGTTGAGGTTTAGCGTTTAGAGTTAAAGTTTAGGGTTG